CCCCAAAACCCCAAAACCCCAAAACCCCTATCTCACTTAGCTCCATCGAATCCTAATAAATCCACAAAGCGGACTTCCAGCCCAAAACCAGAACCACTGGAGACATCCCAAGCCAGAGAAAGATAAAGGAAGAAACCTATTGGCTGAAGGAAAATTACAGTTTTAAATAAGATTTAGGGTGAAACAGCAGATTTGGGAGAAAGAAATGGGAGTTGAGAACAGTTTTAACTGGAGTTATGGGGGTTATTGCTGGGTTATTTATGGGGTGAGGATGAGGGAGGAATGCAGAGATTTCTCAGAGTGAGGTTTGCTTGATTGGCCTCTTTGGGTGTTATTTATAACCTGTTCCTTTGATTTTTCAAGGTCTCCTTTTATTGAGATTCCCAGTCCTACAGTTATTCCAAAGCAACCAAGATATGTGATGAAACCAGGCATATTATCTTGGCCAAGTATGCACCCAAGAATTTGAGTAAGCATTGGTTCTAATAAATAGATGCTTCCAACTATATGTGGGGGGAAGAAGTTTAGAATAAAAACATACCCTCCTACTCCAACTAAGCCTGTAAATGTTCCAACAAAGACAAGTGAGTACACCAAATAAGTATCTGATGCCCAGCCGAAGACTCCGAAATGAGGATCAAATGAATAAAAATTTTCCGTATCCATGAAGCAGATATAGAAAATCAAGTTCATAATAAGCTGTATGGTAAAGCTTACTTGAAGTATTACCATCGATGGGAGTTTCTGAAGCAATCTTGCACTGACAATATAATAAATCCCATACAAGGGAGCAGAGCACAATGATATAATATCTCCTAAAAGAATATTTGTATGCCCATTAGTTTTAGTAGAAGAATTATCATTGACAAAAATGATTGCAAAAATTATCACAACAATTATTCCAATAATCTCTAATCGATGCACTGGAAGAGATCTCACAAGGTTAAGAAACACAATAAACACTCCTCCAAAATTAGCGAATAAGCCAGAATGAGATACAAGAGTATATTCTGAGCTCCATATAAAAAGTAGAGAAGCTGTAGTCCACAACGTTGCTGACACCAAAAACTCAACACAAGTGCCTATCGTAAATATCTTCTTCACATCCATGCCATCCCTCTTCATATAAAAATAATACAGACTTCATGGCAAACAGTAGGCCACCAACAACTGCCACCTCCAAATGGTCCTCAAAAGAACACTGACTCCCTTATATTCATCGATCAAAGGTAAAATCGAAGATGCTCCTCCCAATGCAAACACTGCGATTATAATGCCTAAAGGAATCACCAAATTGACTTGCCAATGACTAAATTATTGGGTTTCTTCTCTGATTCTTCCTGTATAACAGAGATTTCAAATGATCGCACACTCATCTTTGACTAATACAATACTTTAATTTAATTCAATTCAATTGGAATTTTCTGCCTCGGGGTTTTGGGGTTTTGGGGTTTTGGGGTTTTGGGG